GCTTATCGGTATTTTACAGGATATATTACGGAGAGTGTGCGATGGAATTACACGATTTAATTCCGCCTTCCCCTTTCGATCACCGAGGGACTAGGCGTAGGCTTGGGTTCCACCCCTATGTTGTGGAAATTCCAAAGATTCGCGCGAAGCGTTACGCTTCCACATTTATATGGCGAACGGCTATGGAGTGGAATTCCCTGCCTGCAGACTTGTTCCCTGAACGTTATAACTTGGACCTTTTCAAGGCGAGAGTGAATAGGCATTATTTAGGTGTGCATGCTCCATCGTCGACCTCATCTACACTTTCCATCAGGTGAGGTGGAGGTCAAATGCGCACCTATATTTTATAAAAAAAAAAAGATCTTCAGTACCTGTATAGTCAAGTGTCTGTAACCATTTACTGAGAACTAATTTGACCTCTTGTTTATTCAAAGGATAAATTGACGAAAATCTATTAGTTTTGTTATATAGCCTACAACTGGCGGTATTTTGCTGTCTGTCTGACATAATACAGCAGGAAATAATAAGGTCCCATGCCTCCTGCGAAGAATTCCTATGATCAATGGCAGATTATTATGCTGACGTAAAATGGAACGGAGTATATACAGCTGCCGCACCGACAATACCTGGCACTTACTACACAATTTATAAGTAGGGTAATCACGCGGTTTATGGTGCATAAGTTTAAGGACAGCTCATTGTGCTCTCTCTAAGTTTAAAAGAACAGTTTTATACATTCCGCCCCATACAGGAATGCAGTAGGAGAGGATAGACTGGCATAAGGCTTAGGAAAACCATAGTCATAATTACAGAATTGCGAAGATTCCTGAAAATGTACAAAAGCCTCCTGGTACGTACCGATAATGCCTCCACCTGCGCATGCCAGGCGAGTCTCTCATCTACTACAACTCCAAGATATATAATACTGGAGACCATCTCCAAAGGCTCACATACGCAATTATTTTGACTTTTGCAATTATGGACCGTAAGAAAGCCAGTCTCTAGATGAGGTGATCCAGCATTAGGTAAAAAGAAGCGAATGAATTCAGTCTTATCAAGGTTAAGGGTTAGTAAATTAACTGATAACTAATCCATAACTATCCTCAGAGATGTTTGGCGTGACATTTTGCTTCATGCCAGTTTTTGCCATAAGGTAAAAGAGCAGTGTCGTCAGCGTAAACAAACAAGTTACAATTTGGGAGATACAAATGACAAAGGTCATTCACTTATATTAAAATAGAGTCGGACCTAGAATGCTACCTTGCGGGACACCAAAGTCGATCTGCTCTACATTACTCTCTACAGAATATATTTTCACTGACAGAAACAGTTCAAATGCCTTAGATAGGTCCAAAAAAATACCATAACATTTACTTTTGTTGTCCAGCTTATAAACTACACTATTAATAAAACCCGTAACTGAATCTTCAGTACATAATCTAAAATACATATGTGTTATCCCATCTCATCCTTTGATCGGGGTCATAAGGGACAGCAAAGGGGAGAGTTGAGAATTTTTCTAAGGTTGTCATTTTTCTATGTAGGTATTATATGTTATACATTTCAATAGGATTAATTGAAATTTCCTGTTTAGGACAGGATCATTTAAAAATTATGAATTTGAATTATTATATTATAATATTTTAAATTGTGTGCAGCTTAGTAACAATATAACATCAAAAGTTTACACAATTATTTATTAATATGTGAAACTTCTTAATATCAGTACAATGTAACACTTTCTAATCGGACGAAAACAGTTATTAACAGTACTTAAAACATTTCTTCTTCTTTGAGAAGTTAAAATAATAAAAATTATTTTTAAATACCCACACAAAAATAAAACATCAATAAAAATTTTACAAAAATAAAACAATATTTTATATACTAAGTTAGGAACCTTTTTTCTACTCCTTCTCTCCTTTTTTCTCTCTAGACCTTATTCTTAAGACTTTATTCTCTGCTCATTCTTTATTTTATTTCTTCTTAAAATTTTCATTCTTCTAATATTTATAAAATTTATTCAGTTTTTCACAGTAATTCTTTTTGTCTTAATATTTTTTATTCTTTTCTGGTAAAACTGGCAATTTTCTTATTTTAATTTTATATGATTCATTTATACTCGAGTCAATATTATGCTTAACATCCAGCTGATTTTCAAAATTTATAATAACTTCATTTCAGTCTGAACTATTTGCAAAAAATATAGGCATTTGTGTAACATCCACAGAGTCTAGTTCTATATCTTATTGCTCAAAGTTTTTGTAAATATCGACTTCGTCATTTCCTGTTGTTGCTAATACATTCTGCTTTATCTTTTTCCCCTTTCCTTTTCCTTTTATTGATGTCGAAGGATAGGATCGTTTCTCTGGTTCTAACTTCTTTCTATTTATTCCAAGTGCTATTTTAGATTTTTCTTCACTTATGCTGCTCCCAGGTGTTACCTGCAATTTTTGTACTTCTACAATTTTACCTCCTTGAGAAATTTTCAATGCATCTTTGTCTACGTATATGTTTTCGTATATGTCTGGGTCAAGTGAGTGGAATTAGCGCGAAGGAACACAAAATCTATATTCTTTTCTTTGTACAATCTGATGAGGTCTACTGATGGATGGGAAGACAAATTATCACCAATTAGGATTTTTTTTTTACCTAGGCTGTTTTCTAACACGGGAATAACAATGGTTTTTATCCAATTTTCTAAAATTTCCCCGTCAAACCAATCGGATCCAGAACGATTATATCTTGCATCTCTGTGCCCATTGACGACCCAGGTATTGTACAGGTGAGCGGTTTATAGACCACATGCAGTGGTAACATATGTCCATCTGCCGAAGCAGCCATCATCAATAAAACTGACCCTTTTGTGTTATTCATCACACGTTCGGGATATTTGCAGCCTCTTTTAACAATTACTTGTTTACGACCTGGATCGTTAGTCAGGTTTGTTCCATCATATCGAGATACACATAGCGTAAGTCTAAAGCTGTTAAAGGATATCTCCATTCAGCACATGTATTTAAATTATGAACTATATATTTTTCAGAATCCGCAGATAGCGCAGTTTGATCACCAAAAGACTTCATATTATGTAGCTTATGACGACCAGGCACCAATTTTGAGAACCCTTACTTTTGAGCTGTAGAATTAATAGAAGCATGATTTAGAAAGCAATCTAGAGCTTCTATTATTTTGAGTGCACAGTATTTTTTTCTAATTTTTGCACCCGGTTTTTGGAACATAAACTCTCGGCATCTTGTAAAGAATACAAAAAAGAGTAATGAAAGAATAACCCTTATTAATATTATAAATGCGAAGTGTGTCAACTTATAAAGTTGAAATTTGGTATGGGGATAGTTTGAGACCCTGAGAAGAACATGGAATAGATTTTTATTCCGAAATAGTTCCTTAGGGAGCGCAATATATCCGAAAACTACGCGGGCGAAGCCGCGAGCTCGAGTCTAGTAATAAATAAACAATTTTTTTTTTATGAATTTCGTGCACCAGCAAAACAATTTCATAAAACAACTTTATTATAATTATTAATACAAAGATCGAACACTCAGAAAAAATTCATTGGATCCGGTCGGATTCAAACCGACGTCTTCTTGCATACCGTGCCAGACGCTATACCAACTAAGCCACGGAACGAACCAACGGACCTCACGAATTTTTCTATGTGCTTGCGTCGTGTCTTTGTACTTGGTCTTTCAACGATTTTTTAGTCGTAGCGCCTTCTATGAGAAATCTATTGCAGATTTATCACCCAGTTAGTACCTTTACAGCTACCAATCCTGGCGAGGGACGTCGCTATTCACTGTATTAATTAAATTTTTATTGAATTGATATTCAATTATTTTTTGTGAAATTACTCCACTAGTTTGTTATAATTAATACAAAGATCGAACACTCAGAAAAAACACTCAGAAAAAATTCCTTCGATCCGGTCGGATTCGTACCGACGTCTTCTTGCATACCGTGTCAGACGCTATACCGACTAAGCCACGGAACGAACCAACGGACCTCACGAATTTTTCTATGTGCTTGCGTTAAAAAAAAAGAAAGTTTGTTTATGGCAAATATAATAATTTTTTTGGTTTCTCTTAAACTTCGGTGAATCGGCAATTTATTTAACTTAAATCACTCAAAACACGCAAATTTGTCTTTAAATCGTTTTAAAGTTTAAAATGATAATGATTTAAAGTTAGCGGGTTTTTTTTACTTGACTTTGACTAATAATTTTTTAACTTTTGTGGCTCTGATACTTAGTGGTGCTAGAAAATAGAAGTAAATAATAATTAAATTATAAAACTAAGTTTACAAGTATTCAGTTTTAATTTAATACCGGGTGGTAAGCTTTGGAACTCTATTTTGATGCCCCTTGTCACCCCACTATCCCAACTCACCCCGTTCTACGGTACCTCAAAACTATAATTTAGGGCTATTTAAGGTCTACCTTTTAGAATAAAAAAAATGTCTAACCTGATCACAAATATAATTTCTTTTCAACAGAAAGATCTAGAATCAACGAAAGAAAATGTGATCCTATCCTATCTAATTAATTTAGAAGAGAATGTATATATATGTATATAGTTAAGTATTGTGTTTTGTTATGTTTGTGACGTGTTAAATGCTATAATTTGTATTTAATTATAATTTATATGTTACGCAAATAATTTTTCATTAGTCTTACTCGTGTATCATTTGGATTCATGAGAAAATCGTTCTTCTTACGGCAAATACATTCGTGTGACCATAAACATCGTTTTTTTATTAGAATTCACTGAAATATTTGTGTGATTTTATAAGTATGTATAATCTTTATTTTTAGTTATTTGTAAAACTTAATGTTTTTACAAAAGTCACTCGGAAGTGCTACTTTATATACTTTATTACCAGCAGTGAAATCGTCCCTTTTATTTACGAATTAAAAAAAAACATAAGTTTGTCTTTGGCTAAAGCTCTATCTGCGAAGAGCAGTACTCTTTGGAAGAGCCATAACCACTAATAGAAAGAAGAAAAATTTCGTTATAAGATTTTGTATCCGATTGACCTAGTAATTTTCGATTAATTGTCTTTGAAGCTTGTGTATGTGGCTACTAGGGCAGAGTGGTTGAAATATAAATATCCATTTGCATGTCAATTAGGCCAACTAAAGGGTTTTTAATTGCGTCAGGATGGAGCAGGATAGAGCTGAAAGCAGCGCTAACCCTGGGAAGAGGTCACGACCTCTATTGCTGCGGCCCAGACCTACAATGGCTAGACAATCAGCATATGCTAACTCTTCGAGTGGAGTGCTAAAGAACTCAAAGAGGAGCAAACAGAATGAAGCCTCGAATAAGAAGCCTAAGTTGATGTATAACAAGAGCGATGTACCTGCGGGTGGCACACCAGTGCCTGAAAAGCATGTGCGGAAAGCAGGTCCATACTTGCTAGGCCCTAAACTTGGCCCTAGTCCAGTGAAGAGCATAGTACAATGCTTAGCACGAAAGGAGAAAACAGATGATTTTTATCAGATCAAAATTTTGACTTTGAAGAGCGAAGGTCAACCTGAGACCCAAGACGATAGGCAAGGAAAGATGTTGCTGCATACTGAACACTCACTATTATCACTGCTGAAAGACCAAGAAGGTGTCATTCAACATCACGGATTATTTAAGGTAACAAATTCACATAAACAAAATTCGTTTTTTTATTTGTAAATCATTGTGCAAAAACCTGTTACGCTCAATGTGCTGGCATTTGAATATCTTTGCTTTTGTGAAAAATATATTTAATTAGATAATTGTCTTTTACTTTTTTCTACTTCTAAGTTGCTGTGCCCAATCTTACTATGTTTAAACTAATGTGGTAAAAAGTGGATTCTGTCTTTCCAAAAACATTTTACATGTAAACCATTTATTGTAACAGAATTAGAGAATTATGTTTGAAAAATTTCATTTACAAATTACTAAAGCGTATTGGAGGTTTATAAAATGGAACTTTAGGTAGAAAGTAGACAAATTCATATTTTGCCCTGTGATGGATATTGACCTAATATTCTCTCTTCAGAGGAGACCTGCACCTGGTAATGTTGAGTATTGAACTCTTTTTCTAAATACTCTATGTCTGCAATCAGCGAACTTGCTATTAAGAAATGTGCTTTTGAATTACAATATTTGTTATACGTATGTTCTTTTATGTATGTGCAGCTAATTTTATTATGTTTGTCCTAAATTACATACATAATATACATACACATATCTCTGTCTCCCACTAGATGAGACAGAGACAATAGGCCTGCACTCACTATACTTCTTACAAAACTCCTTTGTCTTCTTGACTGTCAGTATCTTCATACATGACTGTTTATTCTTGGTCTTTTTTAAATACATTAGCAATTTGACTAGCTCTCCCTAAGTCACCATCCACATCGATCTATACATTTGTGCTATCAGCCTACTAACATTCATCATTTCTGTGATGAAATCATTGAAACATTCGCTTCAATATGCTGGTCACTACATCATATTTGACACCAAAACACTCATAACTAAATTGTTTTGCATTCTGCCTTGAACTTTAACACCACACATACTGCGCAGTTTATCCTAAACTCTTGATCGCATTAGCAATTTTAATAAAACATGCAACAATTAGACATTATTTTGTAGGGGTCTTTGTGTTGCTTCGACATACCACCACTATAGAAGGCAGTCAAATCAATGGGAGGTGCAAACTTTGGCAAGCCAAACTCCAAATACCAAATTTTATTACCTTAGCCTAAAGTCTTCTCCCATGAGCACGAGTTGTAGTGGTCAATATGGAAATCCCTGAATCGTCACAGGTCAGAAGTTGGCAGATGTAGAGACAATATGGTGAAATGGGTATCAACCTGATACAAAATCATTATGCTTGCGGATCCCCCACACAAAGTATATCTCACTTGTTCTCATGTCCACTGTGTCTGACTAGCTGTACCCGTGAAGACCTGCTAAAAGCAACAGATAAGTGCGTGGAGGTGCGAACTGGTGCTTACTGGGTCAAAGAAATATAACACTGGATTATTATTGGTTTTTGTCATTCAAACAACAAGAAGAAGTGGTCTTTGTACCTTATTTTCTTAATGTATTGTATTATTATTTACAGTAGGTGCCATTCATTTAAAATAATATTAAAATCATAAAATAAACAAGTTATTTTAAATTTGTTCAATGATATTTATGGTTAAATGAACTATTCCATTTTCAAATTAAATAATAAACCAGTTTAGGATGTCTTTTATGATATGGTAGGTTTTAGATTATACCTTCCATCACATAAAAAGTATTCCTTCCATCATATAAAAAGAATGCAAAACTTATTAGGAGTTATGACAAATTGTCTATGAAAAGGTTATAAACTGTTTTTGTTGTGGTCCGTCTTGTGCTATTTTTCACTGTCTCTTGGATATCAGACGGTCGCTAATTAGCTGAATTTCTCCTATGTTAATGTCTACCTTTTGCCACCTTTTGTCTATTTTGTGGGTATGCCAGTTACCTTGCATTTTTGTGAATTTCTGAGATAAAATGTTAGTATTGATCTTAAACATATGGCAAGCTATTTCTATTTCATATAAGGCCTATATTTCAAAGCCTGAAATAAAAGTGTACAATATTTGTTTTGCAGACAGAATTCTTTAAGTGAGAATTAATTCTCCGAACCAGTTGTAATTGTAAGGTCAGAAGACCGAGAGTATTTTCCTTCGTAGGTGTACTCGTCCATAAATTCTACTATGTTACTGTTTTCAACATTCAAGGTGCAACTTTACTTTCTTTCATATCTCAGCTAGATTTCGAATCACTAAATCTATTCCTACAGTTAAGTAGCAGTGCTGTGATCAGACTGAATAATATGGGTTCAATGACCTAATCTGACCATACCTTTCAATGTGGATGCTGGTGTAACTTCAGATGGGTAATTAGTCTACAGGTTGGAATATCATATACCACTAAAACAATGACGTATTGTCAGTTTTCCTAAAGTCATACTACATGATGGTGCTATGGTTTTTCTCAGACGCCGCGTTTTCGTTAGTTTTAAGATGTACCATTCCCATCCCAATTGCCAGACCTCTCAAATCAATGTAATATAATGACGGTAATTATTAAAGTCGTAGTCCCGTTTATGCTTCAGTTAACACTGACATCTTTACCCTAAAATACAACAAAGTTAATTTTGAACCCACACTTTGTAGAGGCCCATTATATATGAGATTCTTTTAACTCCTATGGATGCTCGTGTTAAGCCCCTATGTGTGCAAAAAAAAGTCAAGTTGCAAACATTTACTTAGATTGAAATGTACGAGTCCAATTCCATATTATATATAAGCTTTAAAATTGCTTAGCATGGCAGAAAGTCTCGTGAGCATAATTTTATTGTATTGTAGTCTATTGATGCAAAATATATGTGTTCCGTAATTAATATAATATCAATCTATTTACCGGACGAAACATAAACTATTTAACTACGCATGTCTGCGACATAAAATCAATAAGCCGCGCAGCCATTATTGATTACTACCTGTCTGGGTCGTCATTAGCGAATGCATCAAAGCGTATTGCAATCACTTAGTTTATGTATTATAATAAGTATTATTATTAAAAAGATAGTAGTAGTGCCTTAGCATTTATTGCTACATTTTAATTTCGATAGTTTCTTTTTATATTTATTTGTTTTATATAAACAAAAATCAATAAGTTGAACGATTATTGTCATTACCTAAATACGTAATGTACGTATTTTATATATAATTTCAACATTCTATTCATTCATCTACCTGCACAATATTTAATGTTTTTCAATCTGCCGAGCGATTTCATATTTCAATCGCATATGATTGTACGTGTTTCGCAATAGTAAAAAAATACCTTCCCTGTGAGGAGCCCTGATTCTGATTCCCTATTTGTCGATAAGGAATGGCTTAAGCTAGTTAGAATAGAGAAATGTATGTAATAAAAGCGTAAATGATGAAACGCATTTCGCGTCAGGGGTCCGCGTGGTAGTGAAACGCTGAAGGTCGTTTTCACGTAAAGCCTTTTCTGACCAGCTCAGCCTATTCCGCATTAATAAGTGTGCTAATTCCCATATCGAGAGACGAAAATACATTTTAAGAAAGCGTGTACCTTCGCGACTGGGTGGCCTTGTCATTTTACCATATGCAGTATTGTATTCTGTATTTAGGAACAATTGCAGCTTACTTTAATGTAAATTTTTGAAGTGCCAGCGTTTGTTACGTCTAATGGAGTTCAAATTTAGGATTCAGTTTCAACTAAATTTCGTCTGTATAAAGGTAAAACCACATAATTGACATTTTCAACAAAAGTCTTTAATTTATATAGCTATGGTAAGAAAATCACTATCTTTTTGCACGTGAAACTTAATAACAAAAAGCTATGAACTCAATAATAGTTTTATCTGCAGAAAGATGGTAATTTTCTTACAACAGGTACATGATTTGGAGATTATTGTGGAAAATTTCACTTATGTGGTTTTACCTTTAAGTAGACGATTTCTATGTTACTTATATTTTTTTCGTAAAAATCGTGGCTTGCTTAAACTTTATACTTTCTAAACTAATATTCAAAAGTGATGAGTATCTGAGGCGTAGGATATCGAATACGTTGTACTGTTTGTTGAGAGGTTCTACACGAGTTATTTTCATTAGGATAGAGAGGAACTTGTCATCCCCACGTAACCCGGTCAATCTGAGGTGGTACTTACTTACCACGTGGTCAATATTAATGTTAGTTACTTTCTTTTTCGTGATACATTAGAACGTTTCCATGTGTTATATTACAAAATATTCTATCATCTTTTCTGATTCTTATGAGTAACTTGCAAAGCTGATTGTGACAGTCATGAAGGTGGATTTTAAATTAAATAGGCCTTCTATAGATTAAAAATACACTACCGTTACCGTTTTTAATATTCGCACTGTGTTCAGCATTCTTTTTTTCGTATGTTCCAGTTTTCTTATCGTCTTTAGAAAACTTAATATTGCTTTAACAATTGATTGGAAATTTTGTAAAGGGTAGGTATTTAAGAACTCATCAGAAAGTAAAGTATTTAATCCCACTTCTACACCAGAAATACTTGTTGCACATCAAAATAATTATGTAATTCTAAAGAAAATTTATTTAGCACCACGAACTTTAATTAATGCATAACATTTAAATACATAACTAATATTTCTGGTATACAAAACGTATCATTTCAAATTTATTACTAACAACATACCTATTCGATTGAAAGGTATTTCGGTTTATCAGAATGAAAAACCATTTAATTTGACATAATAAAATGGTCTAATTACTTATATATTATAATTTAGATCAACAAACAGCAACAAAATTGTATTCGAATGTCGGAACTTAATAATTGCAATGGAGCAAGTTTTGAGACGAAATACAGTAATTTTGTTAAAATAATTTTTTTTAGTGTTTATTTCAATGGATGTGCAATTAGGATTTTTAATTATGTAAACCATATTTTTGCTTTTGTGACACTGGGAAAATGGTATTAGTTTTTAATTGATTTTTGATATGCAAATTAAATATTTCTCTTTTGTAAATTTCAGGATCACGCTCTTGAAGAAGTGCCAAACCCGAATGGCCCAGGCTTCGTTTACACTGGCCGAGTAAGGCAGCGATTATTCCTTGTACTCGACTGCGTAACAGCTCATCAGTTCAGCGAAAAAGGAACTGAACTTATTAACTTACAACAGTATGTAACTAAAGTAAAGAAAGTACCTGAACGGGAAGCTATATTGATATTCTACGATATCGTCAAGGTGGTTGCAAATTTGCACAAGGTAATGGGACATATTAACAATAATAGCTTTCTCCTTATTATATATTATATTATTATAAGGTGTTTTCACCTGTATCTTGTAATAAAACACCGGTTAACAGCGTGTTGAAAACGCTTGTTATAGGGTTCCCTTGCATATTTCAAGTGATTGATGACAACACTTTGAGTGTTGCTACGTTGCTAGTTTACGGAAACTTAAAAAAAATGGGAACCGATAGATTTAACCAAGGAGGTTAATGTCCACTTGCACTAAACTTGAGTACGTCTTAAACCAATGATTGCAATGTAAAAGACCCTCTTAATATATTATGTTAGAATCGAATAGAATACAATAGAGTAGACATTTATTGGAACGTCACAACACAGATACAAATAAGAGATTTATATTGGATTACATGGACAAACAAAATTTAAAGAAATAAAAACCAAAATAAAAAATACAAAAACAACAGAAAAACAACGCAAAGTAAAGCAAATACGACAAAAAGCAATAAACAAAATTTAACCACTACAAATTTGTACTGTCATCTGTGCAGCTGTGGCGTACGCAATAGGACCTTATTCAGCTTATGCCTCAGGTTTTTAATGAGCCATATACCGAAATGAGTGACGGACGCACGGACGTGAGTTAAGAGTGTCTTATCAATTTAAGCACTAGGTCTAAGATGTACTTAAGGTTAGTGCAAGTGGATATTATTCTTACACGCTTATTCTTAAAATCTTAATATCCCTATTAAGATTTTACCATTTCAACGAATATTTTTTGAGAACATTTAGTTGCTAATCGCAATAAATAATATGTTCTTCAATTGAATTATTACGTAAGTGTTGCAGTTATGTAATTTAATGCGTTTGTTTATTTTCAGAGGAACATAGTGCACAGGGATCTAAAATTAGGTAACATAGTGCTAAACCAAAGGACTGGCAGAGTGACCATCACCAATTTCTGTCTCGGGACGCACTTGGGCAGCGACAGAGACCTTTTGAAGGATCAGAGAGGTAATTTTAACATACATTTGCCCAATTCCATTATCTTCCTGTGATTTTATGTGGTTGTCTGTCAGGCCCAGTGTATAAAAATGTGGAGGGCAGACGAGTTGTGGTTAGTTAAAACTCTTATGACGACCTTAGTGGTCAAGTGACTTGCACACCGGTTTTCATTGTGTCTCCATCCCTGAGATCCCAGGTTTCCATCCCTAGTCAGTGTAGAAAAACTAACTTTTCTATATTGTCTCGGGTCTGGGTGTTTGTGGTACCGTCGTTATTTCCGATTTCCATGTGCTTTATTTATTATAATGCTTTAGGGCCATTCCAGCGAAAATGACACCGTAGTTCAAAAAAATAAATTACACCATTTGGTTTTAATTATATGACTAGAATACGCCCAATAAATCAAATCATTAGAAATAAATTAGATTTTTCGGATATTGTACAAATATTGTATTTTTTGTGCTGTCGTCTATAGTGAAGCATTTTTTCCTATAATGTTAGCAACAATTTTCGCGGTTCTTTGTGCGTCGTTCTAAAAAGTTATTATTGTCGAAGAGAATACAATTTACGGATTTGAAAACAGTGATAAGTGATTGCGTGGAAGTATATATGGTGAGGAGTTATTAATGTTTCTATAAATACTAATTTCAAGTCCCACCAGTCACAATGAAACATATATATTTTAATTTTAACCAATTAATATGCAATCTATTGGCATTTACTTTTGTAAAAGTAATGTTAATGTAAAGTAGTGTTAAATTGTGACGATTCAGACGCCATTTTGTGACAGGTGGGACAAGTTACATTTGGATACAAAGAATAAAAAAAAACACTGTTTATATGTAGAAACTTTATAAGTCTTCTCATAGTTACGACATTTTAATACAAAAAAAGACAGTTAAAAAGTGACAACATTTTTTCTGATGATTTTTAGTATCAGGAAATTCATGAAAAGTCTGTCTCCACTAGTTTTAACTATATATTCGAGCAAAACTTCTAAAATGCGGCAGGATTTTTCAAATTTATTAACGCATTTTACATGCTTGACTTTAATCTCATGTCGTCATAGACAGTGTTTCAAGAAAAATAATAGGATTACTTTATGAGTTCTTTAATTCTGTTTTTTCGTTCCGTCACAAAATCATGTCCCACCCGTCACAATTTAACAAATTAATTTCTTTAAAATTTATCAAAGTTATTAATTAAGTGTATATATAAAATAGAACTTTAACATTCAAGTCATCTCATATGAAAAACTTGCTGAACAAAATATTAATAGTTTGTCTTGATCTTGGCAATGAAGCCAAATCAAACAGGCCAACCACCATTCAACGCGGGTGTCGTGAGTGTCCCACCCGTCACACTTAGAAAATTAAAGGTTTTGAGTATAAATAACGTCGTAAATTTATGTAAATAAATAGTCGCAGTTGAATTGCATATCTGGCTTCATGATGTTTTCATTTAAGTCTAAGTAACCAATGGTTAGGGAGAAATTACTTAAAGTTCAAGAAAAAAGGAGTCAAATTGGCCCACCAGTCTCTTTGGAATAACCCTTTAGCTACTTACTTTGGGATCAGAGCAACGAATGTGATGTTGTCTAATATTAAAAAAATATATTCCCTCCAGATACCCTAGGTTTACTATTGCTCCTTTAGTGCCACCATTCCGTAATATCGTTCTGGGCTTAATTAGTTAATTCCTGTATCCCAAGGCTCTGCAGACTATATAATAAGCACAGTCACGTTTGCGATATATTTTGGCAGTCGCTGCACAAATTTCGCTTTAGTGTTATGTTAAACCTTAATTAATTTTTGTTTATTTTTTCCGCCATCTAGTTTGATGCCGTACGAGACCCTTGTTGACTTGTATTTATTGGTTTTGTTTTGTATTACTTTTTCTTTTTTTTTTTAAATTAAGTTCCTGTTTTTAAATTCTATGTAATTTACATTTTACATTGTTTTTGCAAGCTGTGTTCATTCATAAGTAGTTGTGCAATTTAGATAAGAACTTCACCAAATTGAATTTATAGTATGTTACATTGTAATAACTGTAAGTAAACCAATAAACTAAAAAAAAGGATTCAGGCCTTACTTTGCGAAAATCCATGTTAATAAACTTGCAAGTAAATTGACTTCCTACTCCGCGAACGCAGTGGAGGTTAAATCATGCAAAATATAGCTGCGCTTGTGTTGGATATATTTCATGCATTTAATTTTGTCACCTTCTTACCGCAAAAAATTAATAAAATAAATAACATGAGCGCAACTACAACCACAGAAACCACCACCAAAAATATACTCGACACGTGTGTCGCCTCTCTACGAGACATCCTCAAGGGATGTTGATTGTTCGACACTCGGCCGAAGAAAGATTCGACACGAGAAGAATTCGGCCGTCCATATTTTATTAGTTATGGTGTCCGTGTCCCACTGTCTGTGCCGTGTCCCAATAAATAAAAGTATTTCGTTATTTTAAATCCATTATCTACTTAAACTTTTCTTGATAACAGCAAGCAATAAAGAATGTGTTTGTATAGCATACTATTGTGGAATATACATGAGTTGACAGGGCTGCCGTATCACTTTGTTCCAGGATCACCAGCTTACATATCACCAGATGTGCTAATGTGCAAACCTTATCTCGGGAAACCGTCAGACATGTGGGCTTTGGGCGTCGTACTTTACACAATGCTGTATGGTCAATTTCCCTTCTGCGATACCAGTCTCGCTCAGCTATTCAGTAGAATTCAAGCTGCAAATTATAATATACCACCGTAAGTATAACTAATCTTATTTGACTTGTCAAATTTAAGTAAATATACCTTATAAGTTTTGAGTTACGTGCACTTTTGGAATAATAACAAGTAGCAGTAGAGCCCCTTGTGAAGGAGTCGTCCAGAGGAGTATTACCACCTTGCCTATTTCTGACGCCAAGCAGTAGTGTGAGCATTACTGCGTTCTTGTTTCGAAAGGTATGGGAGCTGGTGAATTTACAGGCACATGGGACTTGTCAACTTATGCCTCAGGGTGTCGGGCGCAGTGGCCGTGTCTCTCAGATCTTTGTGATTTATGAGCGGTACTGCAACTGTTATGGATAGGCATGTCGCTTACCATCAATAGCACAACTTATGCGTCCCGTCACTTAGTTTTTATATAAAAAAAGGTGAATTTTAAATTTAGTGATGAACGCGCCTTACTAAGACAGTGTGTATAATCATAGTGGAAAACCGTTAATGGTAAAATCCTGTGGAAACGGAGATTGTCTGTTTAGGACTCCATTGTCAATCAAAACGGAGATGTACGGAGATTAAAGGTACTTTAGGAAATGGCGTATGTTATGTCTTTTTCTATATCGTCGTGGTGAATGTTCACCGATCCCACGGCGCCGACTCGACTGGTGGGAGGTAAACGCGTCTGGAGGGAGAGTCCCCACATAACCTCTGAGTCTCTCTGTGCTCAGAGGTATGTAATAAAGATTTTCGCCGTAAAAAAAAGGTCTTTTTCTATATCGTCGCCTTAGAGTGAAAATATCGTATACGCGTTTTCACATAGTCGTTTTTACTGATTTTTGTTGAGGAAAACTTATAACCTTCTTGCTCAAATATATTATTAAAGTAATATAATATCTGAGGTATAATTTAGCTAATTAAAATGCTAACTATAAACATTATTGCGCTTACTACATTTTACACCACATTTTTATCTTCGTCCTGAAAATTTACATAGAAAACACTTACAATATTCATTCTAAGACGACGATATATAAAATAAGTTATGACGGGCCGAACAAGTCATGCGCCTGAGTGGCGCTGATACTGCGCACGTCACCTTGAGACATAATTTGACATGTCTCATGTGCCCGTAATGTCACCAGCACCCTTACACTTCAAAACCAAAACGCAGTAATGCTCCCAATACCACTTGGAGGCGAACTGAACGGGGAAGGCGAATGTGACGGACGGCCATAGAACTCAATAAATATAATTATTTAAATAAATTGCAACAAAGAACTAAAAATCTGCATGTTCTTTTTATATTTTTATTCTTTTAAATGCAAAGAACCTGTTTTCTTTGTTGTACTACAATGGCATTGTCACGCGACCTTGAGCGTCTCACTCGCGAGTTATTTATAATTTTAAAATGTCAAGATTCACTACTTCAGGGTTATGTAATATATGTGTTCAACGTGGAATGAAATTTTAAAATTTTATTAATTTTTTAAGCGTAACGTTTCGTCTGAATCTTGGGTATTTCATGGGGGTAGAAAAGGTTTACAGACAGACAGTTCTATGCTATCAGTCATTGCTTCTACCCGCTTCGCTTATTTTTGAGGCTATCAGTGCAAAAGTGGTGTCACCCCATGAAATGCATATATAAAGAAGATTAATTTTATAATGAATTATAATGTATATGACCAATACATAATGATTACTATATATTTAAATACATAGAAATAACATACAAATGTATAATAATTATGTACAGGGTAAGGCAACAGGTACGCCCGAGTTTGGGACAATAAAAAAAAACTACACAACTTACGGTATTGATTTTTTAAAATTCAATTGACTTTGACTTTTAATTCAATTCGGTATATTTATTACTTTTTAACATTTTAAATAAGATTTCATCAAGATGGCGGCTTTCAGGAGCAATACACTGATGTAGTAAGTTTGTAAAGTTTTGGGCATGTCTTCGTCGCATCTTCCCCAGTAATTCAGGCCTTGAGGTCTTTTACGAACGCCCCCAGCGTTATTTAAAATCTTCATCCTTCAAGTAACTATACAGGAAAAAATCGCAGGGACTTAAATCAGGCGAGCGCACAGGGAACAGTGAATGAACAGGGAAAATTTGCCTTAATTTGGTCATGGAGATGCGTGTTGTGTGCGATGTCGCTCCGTCTTGTTGAAACCAAGTCTCCCAAATCAGTCTCCTCACTGAATTCCTGCAATTGAGGCTCAATAAAAACTTCCAGCATGCTAACATAAGGTTGAGCTGTCACGGTCACCGTACGGCCATTCTCCTAAAAAATAAGGCCCAGTGATGTGTCCTTGCAGTTCTGAGTTTTCCAGTCGACCTTCCAGTTATTCCAAGACACGTACCCAATGTTTGATTGTTTTTGCGTTAGGGATGATTTCATTGCGCGTAGTGTTGAAGTGCAAGCGTAGGGGTCTGGGTGGCAATGACAGAACGTCTATTTTCCGAAAAAGTGCGCACAGCGAAGCCATGGTACTTTCCGGTCCAAATCATGATGTGAAAACGGTAGGGTATAACGATCACAATGAGATCAAAAATAAAATTTGGGTTACACCACTTTTGCGATGATAGCCTCAATCATAAAACATTTCCTAACTTCTGCTTTCTGTTATTGTGGAAGGTTGCTTAATATATTTGATGTCGATGTAAATTTGTTGCTCCTCTCTAACATCATAAATCGGTTAATATAAAGGTCAGTTATAAAACGGTAGTCTCTAGTCAAGTTTATAACTCATCCGAACGTATTTTATAATTTTTAAAGAAGGTTAATACTTTTAATTTGTCACACTATTTTAGTAATACAATGTGCTTTATATTTCAGAGATGGGAATTCAGTAAAAATCTCCGACAGCACTGTATTTCTCATCCAAAGACTGCTGGTGAAAGATCCAAAACATAGACTACTAGCTGATGAGGTAAGTAACATAAAATTATATAATATCTTATTCGAACTGAAGCGAGTGGAGGAAGTGAAAGAGGCATGTCAGGAGCGTAGCGGGTAGTGCTATGGAGCTGAAGATAGAGACTCTAGATTCTCTGTTTACCAAATGTGTAAAATTTTTACAGAGCTCAAGTCCGGTCATGTATGGAGTACTGCTGCCACCTTTGGGATGGTTCTGCCACATATCAACTGGCCACTTTAGATGCAGATTTAACATATTTTTCTGATCATAGACTACTAAATATTTATAGTTTAATAATAATAATAATAATCTAGTATAGGACAGTAGTGTCAGCTTGTCTATTATTAATTCGAGCTTCTGAGCTGGTTGACTACGAGGAATCATCTTTTTTTGTGTTCTTTAACATTAATAAATTATTACGTCCCAACAGCTGGATACTGGCTTATTACATTCTCACATTGCTTCCCCCTCTGCTAGCTCCGTTTATTAAAGGGAACTGTTTGTTTCAGGTGGCAGACCAGCTATCGAGCATAATTGCAAGCTATGTGGTCATTCCTAATCCTCCCGAGGATCTGCAGGTGGTTCCTGAAGTGCCGCTGGATGAAGACAGTAAGAATAAAAACGCTAATGCTAGTCAGTCGTCCACTGAGGTCGACAAGAAACCTTTATCGAGTGTTACTGAAAATGGTAACGAGAGGACACCCAATGGCAGTGTAAGTGTTCATTGTTATTCAAAAGAAAAATATACAAATATAGAAACTTTGTCATATAAGTTGAATTTGATATTCTATAGGTTATACATACTGCCCGCGACTTATTGCGGTGTACTGAAGAAAAATATGTTATGTGTTATATTGTTTTGTTATTACTAAACGAATAACTTAAAAATATTTTTACGATGAGTATGAAGTACTATAGATTGTTAACTATTTATTGTACCTGAGATATTTCTTTAACACTATTTATTTAGGGGCTTATAATTGTTGGAACATATCAGGGGGCCTACCATAACCTTTCAAAAAACAATCTTATTTCAATGTAAGCTTATGGTAAGCTTATAATATTACTCATATTCCTAATGTAAGTAGCTGAAAGAACGAATGATTTCCCAATATTGTCTATTCCTTACTAAAAATAGGATAGAAATAACGCAATATGAACAGTATAATGATATCTCTTTCTTTTTTGATGTTCCAAATCGTCTTAACGTAGTATATAATGTTAAAGTACTTAATATTACTTACATTCCGAGAATTTTAACTGCCAAAAAAAGAAAAATATGTAATAATGAAATCTATTAAAATCACGTTGTTTTCAATTATTTTTCCGCATTTTCATGAAGAAAAATAAGTAAAACAAGCGTATGAATGTCACGTTGTGAATTCGGAATTATAGTCTAGTGTCAACTGTTAGTGTCGCCAAGGAGCATGTAGAGGGCGCTGTTACAATTTTTCGAAACAAACATCGCGTGTATCTATTTAACGAGAAATGATTTCCTATCTACTACATTGACCTACTAACAAATAGTAGGTCAATGATGTCAAATGATGTCAAAATCTCTACAGATAAATCAAAATACTACCCAACCAGACGTGTATACTAAGTTTTCACGGCACTACATGTTAGCTCTGGCAAAACGGACTGAAATCACCCAACATTAGGAGTCTATACAACCTCAAATGGCTTTGGTTGATTCCGCATAACAGTGAAAGTGTTGAATCAATCAGTTTGGAAAAAAAATATAGTAAAATTGAGGCTATATATGCTATATACTGATTAGTAAACGGTGCGAAAACACGATTCCTAAAAATTTTCGTAATAGAAAAAAAAACACAAACTTATCACGAAATTTTACAAGAAAACCGCTGTATGCAATAGGTACTTTAATAAATTTTTTTTAAATTTTTATATCAACTGAACTAAATTGAGTACGTATACTATACGATGTACATTTTACAAATGGCTGTCATTTCGTTTGTAAAAAAATAAATTCTGAAATAAAGCCAGTGTCCCCGCCGCTCGACCCAAGCAAAATGAACCGTATTAGTACGGGAAAAATTTGATTTGGGGCTGAGGTAGTATCGACTGTTGAATGTGCGGAAACCAATTTGTGCAAAATGTGTGCAAATAAACGTACCCTGATAGGTTCTGTCCGAGCACACTCCATGAGCAAATTATATACATCCTCCGGAATTCCACATCCTTCGCAAGATTATGAATACAATTCCTTTAACCTAAAAAATTGTTTCTTGTTTGAGTGAATACAATTTCGCTCTATGACATACGATTGTATATAAAAATATTGTGAGTTCAAAATATTATTATTTTTACGTTTACATTTCAGGAGGATCTCGGTGTTTACTGCGTGCCGCTACCTGACTTCCTTGCCCTAAACTTTCCTTCTCCTACACGAGTGCAGCAGAATAGTATTCTTGTCCACCCTACGCAATCGAATGTTGATTCTTCATCGATCACCGCACCAAATCAGCAGAACCAGCACCCAATCACTGTGCAAAGAATTGGAAGAGATGCTAGACCTTTAATGGCGTCCGAGATAGCAAGGTATCAACACATGTTTGCTTCGAATCAGAACCAAAGATCATCAGCGGAGCAGCAGCCGCAGCAGAGGCGTCCTGAGACACAAAACTCAGTTTCTTCCCAGGAACGACCGGAAAACTCACGCCTTCGAAACTTGGCGCAGAGGATTCCTCGTCTTAATCCAGTCACTGCGACTACCACAAACAGTCAAAGCTCGTCATCATCTTCGTCTTCGGCGGGCTCCTCGGACCAAGTCAGAATAATACCTTGGTCGGAGCGATCCAGACTTCAGGTGGACCGCTCGTTAGACAACGAGTTCGTGCTAAGATTGCCGTTTGTTGACTTAGGAATACAGCCTACTACGCACATTGTGACACCGTCCGGCCGACGAATCAGCATCGATCCCGCACGACCGAGCTCGCGTCCAGATCACACTGAAAACGATAATTGAGATCAGCCTCGTCGCGAGCGACGAGTTATACGTACATTGTCTCGATTAGAAAGTGACTACTTACGTAGCTACTTTCTGCTAGACCCCCGTGATGATAATGTGTAAACAAGAAAACAGTACTCAAAACAATAGTGCGTGTTACGTTAATACCATTTTCAATCACAAAGACATTTTAAAGTTCAATGTAGCAGTGGAATATGATAATAATTTTTATTCGTGGATGGATGATTCACCCTTATAATGAGCACTTACCAAGCCGACGTAGAACGTTAGTCGATATAGTTTGAGAAAGACTTGGAATGCAGCTCGGTTTAGTGTGAATGAGTTTGAATATGTTTGAGGTTCGGCTTGGTGAAGTGCGACTCATTCTTTATTCGGTGTGATAAATAGTTATAAGGTTATTGAAACTTAATATTATTAATTATGTATCTTACGAATTAAACGTATCACATTTTCATGTGTTATTCGAAATAGAGGTAATTTGCAATTTATGTTCATACATAAATACATCTTAAAAAGGCGTATACTATCACCGAAAAGCGGTGTTACACTTACAAAGGTTAAACTTTTTCAACCTAGACTTAAAGTTGTTATTAAAATTATTAACTTAAATGAGAAGATGTATAAAGCTGGTAAACCGAGTCCTCAGGTAATAACAGACGGGAAATAACGCAGCGAGGCACTTAACTATGGGCCATGCAGATAGTAATTACCATTGTAACTGATTTTGATGTTTACATTCCACAAACCATGAATAAAATTAATAATTCTAATTTTCCACTAAGTATGATATGCTATTGTGCTTACGCCAGCGTTGAAACAAAGAAAAGGTTGTATTGAGATTTGTCTAATATACTGTTTTCCATTTAGAAACTCCATTGATGTCAGGTTGCTTTTAAAGCAGAATTAAATATTCTGCTTTGAAAATCTCGGCATTAGATTGTAAATAATGTATAACCAATTTGCCAAAACTAATTTTTATTGTACGTACTCTTAAGCGTTGTGGTAATTAGTTAAATTTGCTGTTCATTCTCAAGTACTTATCACATCGACTTTTTGAATAGTGCATGTCTATACATGAATACTGTAGAAAACATAATTAACAATACGAAACTGACTACGTCAAAGACTATTCTGGTGCAATTTAAGATCTATCAATGTAGTGGGATTAAAGCGGGTAAATGGACCGATCGGGAAAGTGGACCATTAGGACTAGTGAACCGATCGGGGAAAGTAGATGAGTAGTGAAAGTGGCCCGATCGGAGAAGTAGACCGATAGCTCCAAAGGGAGATAAAAACTTTAAATTTATTCCCGTTAGTTCCGTGTATGGAACTTTTGGATTGCAATATAGATTCACGTGGATCTGAATACAAGGAACTACTAATAAATGGTTTTTTTTTTTCAATTTCTTAAATGTGTATTATGTTAACGTAGTATACTGGGCATTCAATATTTCACTCTATTTTATGAAATATATAGACTGCTCCATTTAATTATAAGTATTACATTAAAATTTAAAACGCATTTGCGTATATATCAAATCCTACCGTTTAGTAATAAAAACATTATATAAAAAAACCCATTAAATAGTGGTCGCTCCTTAATCATGTTAATATTGAAATAAATAAATTAATAATCTAAATATCATAAATAATATTCCTTAGATGGCTAACAGACTTAAGTCACATCTGTAGTGCATTGTCTCGCGTAAGTCAGATTTTATAAACGACAATTTTTGCAATGTTACAAAATAAATCATACAAATGGTGAAACTTATTCATATGTCTTCAGTCACGATTTTAAAAAAAGGTGTAAGGCTTAGAATAAATTGAAAGAAGACAGACTGATGTGTGATGAGTGCAAAATAAATAAGGAGGATATTTTTTATAAATCGCGTCTTGAAGACATGATACTTTATTGTGGTTAATGTATGTATTAGATTTTTTTCGATGAAAATGTGTGTAATAGCATTTATTCTAGCGATATGGCGACTCTAGCGATTTAACTAAGGTAGTATATTAGAAACAAATGTTGTATACACAGCTTATCAGTGTCGAAACAAATAGTATTCATAATACACACCTCAAAAGTTTTTAGGGATCGATCACATATGAAGTCTCAAATGCCCTTGATCCCTAGACATTTTAGAGCAGTGTATTTCAAGTTTTTCTCAAGTAAGTACAATTGTAGGATCGTTTTTGGCATTATTATATTTATCCCGTACAATACTTCATAATTATTAAAGTGTCACTTAAAGAATTGATTTCCGACAATACTTTTCATGTCTATATCGTGATCTCCAAAGATGTCTATGTATTTAGTAGGAACAGTTGTAAATTAGAAGGGTAACTAACATAAAGGCAACGTTTTACTACTTAACTGTTTTAATGCTGTTGTCGTAGCGAGTATTCCTTTGCTAAGGCGTTTGAAACACACAAGTAATTCTCGGTGAACTTGCGAATTGTAAGGAACAAACTATTTTGTATTGTTCGAAGCGACGCCACCTTCTCTCAGCTTAACGTTCGTGGTCAAAACTATCTTTTGTCACACTAAAGAAGCAAAATCGTATGGAAACAAAGTATCATATTATCGAATTTATATCATAAAAGATCTCCATGCATCGTGAACACTGACGGTAAATAATCTCGCTTTCGGAATATTCGCAAACAAATGTTCATTACGAGTTAATTATATATTGAATAAATGTTAATAATATTTATTAAATATTGTAGCAAAATGTAATCATAATGACATTCCCTCGTGGCATCGTTGCCACTTTCAATAGGTTACATAATTACATTCTTAAATATAATGTAAACATTGAAGGCATGCCTAAGATTTGAGTAGCACCTCTGAAATACGAAATAAGTAGGTATATGTACTGGTAACATTTTATCATAGATTAATCAGATTCAGTATGGACATTGCATATCAATAATATCATATTGCAGAAGTCCAATTGGTATTGTTCCTCACATGTTTTCAACTTGTACTGTTGTGTAATAGGTTCGAGAAAGCACCAGGGCCGTGCAAGGAAGTTGAGCGGTGTGACAGATAATAAAAGAACCTTTTTTTATATCGTCTCTCGGCACAGTTAAGGTGGAGAAGGGTCCAATAGAGAGAAATTTTTATATGCACTCTCTCAACAGGCCGTGATAATGTAGAGCGGCGTACCGAAGCGGGTGACAGGATAGCTTTGTCTAAAGTGTTACTATGAGATATAGTAGTCACGTAACGTGAGCGACGTATCACAAAGTAGATATGGCACTGTAAAAAAAAAAACATTTTACCCTCACCTTTTTATTCCCATACTACTGAATATACTGAACATGTTCCTCATTGAGAGTCTAAATGACCAAAGTGAAGTAAGGCAAATACCCTAGTATAATGGTTTTGTTCCGCTGTTTAGCACCGTTCCTCTTCCTTGGATAAAACTTGGATAGCTAGACCATAACGTGACCATAATTCGTGTTGACTTAGCCATTGGCTTAACAACTTTTAACCTATTTTTTCAACTACAGTTCATAGAAAGTAATATTCAGCGACAGTGTATAGAAAGAAACTTGACCGATTTCTGTTAATATTGTTGTTTACATATTCATTTGTAGAGGTCGAAATAGTGGCCTAAAATTATAAAAGTAAGCGAAACAATTGTCAGTTCTACAATATATATTTAATATCGTGTGTTTCGGAAATAAGTTTTTAGAATATAACGGTTTTGATTTGTGACGTTAGTTAGATATTCTAAACGAACGACTCATCTGCTTAAATGTAAAACTTTATTCTGGTGACTACTTAAGGCGGGGTATGTCAACGTGAGCCTACATTTTAGGAGGTGAGGTGTGGTAATATGAATAAAATAAGAACACGTGGAAAAAAAAATCACGCAGATCCGTTGTCGACAAGCCCCTGATGGCCACTAATGAGGCAGCGGGCGTCTCGGCGTGGCGTTAACCCGTCGGGCAATTTTAAAATTTTGGGATAAATATGAATTTCATAACTATAGGGATTCAATTGAAAACCAAAATTTAGCAGGTTCTCTGTACTATTAAAAAAGAAATATCTCTGTATAAAAATCATGTCCAAAGTTACATAGTTTATTCTTAAATTATTCGTTTTAGACTTTTACTTTAGACTGTTTTCAGTATTTCGAGTAAAGTGCTACTACTCCTGTCGTGTAACAAATTAGCGCATTGTTTAGACAATATCCTTAAATGTACCATATATTTCTTGTATATGTGATACACCTAAGGATATAATCGTAGACCGTTACTTAATAGTAAATACCTAAACCATTTGAATTAGCAAAACAATTTTTCCCGCTTCTCCGGTGACTCATATTAACGGAAATAAATTTTTATATCTATTGCCGTATTAAATTAGCACGACAAATGATCGTAATAACGGAATTTTTTTTATGAATAAGGAGGAATGCTTCAGCCCCAAAAAAGACCACGAGGAAGCCAAACTTCAGTTATGTTTTATAGTTAAATACATTATGTATTAGCAATAGAATATTATCAGTATTCTAGTGACTGCAAAGTTTGTTCACAAATTAGAACTGTTCTAAAATATTTATATTATTTAATTTAATTCTGATGGGTAATAAAATAATACATGTTAAAGTATGTACTCGTAAAATATTACATTTTAATCACTATTCGTATATAAGAATTGTATGTCTGTCGTGTTTTCAATAGTTGATAATTACGTATTTAGCCGATGCCTCACTACAGTACTATTTGTCGTATTACTAACAAGATATGGTGTACTGTTAGTTCAATTGGTTCGTAAACGACGCAATATTCTGTCGATTTACTGACCTATTTACCCATTACTGACCACATAATTGATTAGTTTCTTGCCCTTGACAAGTTATTCCTTTCTTTGACATATAAAGAAATTATGAGTGTCATAATCTAATAGGTCCGTTTTGACATCTGTAATCGCAAAGTAACCAGGGATGTCGGCGAATCGTTAACCAGATTATCCGACTCTCACTAGAAACAGATACAATTTTTTGTTTGAATTTATGATCGTTTTGATTATTGTTAGGTTAGGATAATATTTAATACAATAATAAGTATTAGTAATATGAGTAATAATAAGGTCAACGTGATTGCAAACAGAAACAGTTGAAAGCAAAGCTAAGTCACAAGAAAAATATACTAAGAACAAATGAGCACAAAGTCAACTTCCAAGATGGCGAAAGACTGCGCAGGTACACACTCCAAATGGCCCTAGATTGAAATAGTGTACACAATCCAAAAATAAGGAAATAAAACCTGGCTTTACATCTGCCCAGAGCACTTTCATTTTTTATATTAATGTTTAAGTTAGTATTTTTTACGTGGAATCGAATAGAGTCAGTGAACAAAATACTAAAAGAAAGAAAAACAGATTGAGAAGGCAACTATTTTAAGACGTGTTTCGTAGCAATTCAAAATTGTATTTCATTTTGGAATTCACGCAAAAGTAATACTTC